AAAAATGCTTCAAAACATGGAAGATAGGCAGCCTCTCCTTCTATTATATCAGTTTATATATTATTAACCTCCACTCAACCTGAACCCAAACTGATCATGGAGAACTGGGATGCTAATAAGCTTAAAGAGTAGAAAATCAAAATTGGAGTCCCCCGCCTCAAGATTGGATCAAAGTGAACGTTAATGGTTCATGTCTCAAGAAAAATAAGGCAGGTGTAGGTGGTGTTATTTGAAATCCTACATGTAAATTCATTTTGGCATTCAAAAAGTAGGTAGATTATTTGGATTCTACTAAGGTGGAGCTGCTGGCATTCCTAGCTATCTAAGAAGTCATAAAAGAGTGGATGCATGAAAAGCAAGGAATTATAATTGAAGGGAACAATGTGACTGTAAATAAGATGCTTTAAAATACTATATAAAATCTTAAGTGGCATGGTACTGGTTATGCTGATTTTGACTAATCATTCTTGAAAGAGTTTACATAAGTCATTTTTCATTTTATTCCTATAGAATGTAATAAGGTAGCTGATTTATGTGCTTCCTATGCTATGTTTAGCAATTTTCTTTGGGGAAGTGTTGTAGTCCTCCTTTTCTTATGTCTATGTTAAAGGAGGATACTGATAGGGTTCTTATCACTAATTAGGTTGTATTTTTTATTAATTCTTGATGAAATTTGCACTTATTCAAAAACTAATAATAGAATTGCTTACACAATATTGGATATGATCTCCAAATCTAAGTATCTTTCCCTTCCCTAGCCCTCCTTAGACTTTACTTTAAGGTAGAACTAAAAAAGATACTCAATAGTACATGACTCCATAAAAAATGATAGAACTCATTTAACAAAAAATTGAAAAACTATTTATACAAGTACATAAACAACCCAGGTGCCACAATGCTAGGAGTATGTACATTGCATAAATATAAACTAAATTGTGCCAGGTTTGCAAACTAGCATAGTTAATGGTTGAACCGACGTGTCTTTTTTCTGAGTTGTCATCTCTCCTATTAACAAATGTTTTATAGCAGCACTGTAAAAGTTGAATGTTGTGGTGCTTGAAAGTACGATCTGGCATAACAGTGTTGAAATTCTCAGCGCTCCGGTGCTTATATTCATGAGACTCTAGTACTATGGTGCTGATTTTTAGTACAATTGTGGTGTAAGGTGCTACAGCACTATCCTTGGCTCCACTACGACACTAATTTCTTTAAAACATTAGAGCTGCCAGCACTGCGATGTCTAAATTAGGCACTGGGGTGTTGTAGATGAAACCACTGTGGTGCTAAATCTGTATTCGCTGTGATGCTTGTTCAATACTTATGAATCATTGCCTTCTCCAAAATATTTCCTACATAAATATAACTAAAATGACACATTTTTTTCTAAATGTTAACACAACAAACATTACACAATTTATACTTAACAAAAATGTAATATCTCAAGGCATCATGGGCATGTGGAATAACATTCGTGGGAGTATAGTACCTAAAGAGCTCTTTATTTTGAATGGACTCAACTAACTCATCCATTCATACTTTCAAGGAAGGGTAAGTAGGATACATATGCACTCGATAGGAGATCTCTTCTAGTTATGGGTGAGTAGTGAGAAGAGGCCCCTCCACCCTTGGTGCCAATATTCTAGTCATTTTCAAATGCCTAGGCTGCAATGCATCCTTAGCGCCTAGGGTGATCACGATCATGTAATGATTAGCCTCTTTTATAACTTATATCTCTAGGATAAAATATTTCTACTTATATTCCTCATGTTATTCTTTTCTTGTAATGTCCAAGTGGGGACGAGCGATTGAGAAAGATTCGGCTAATATGTTAAGCTCCTCTTCATTTACATGTCTGTTGGCAAGCTATAGTAACTCGGTGAGATTCTTTGGCTTCTACAAGATGAGTACATTCTTAAATGGACCTCTCTTAGTCCTTAGGTCAAGGTGGCCTAAGAGATTGTGGCCTCGAGGTCCTTTACTTCTAGCATCTCTCTTTAGAACCTTACTATAAAGCTTCTAATCAATTCCCTCATTCCTGTCTCATCTTCAGTAGAGCATGGAAGATATTCTATGGCCTCTGGGTGTTAGTGAATTGTGTTATGAATATTTTCTTAAATTCAACAAATAAGGTGATCACCCCAACTAGCATGCCAGTAAATGACGCAAGGGATGACTCCTTAAGTGTGGTGAAGAAGAGTCAACACTTGAGGGCATTGTCGATGTCTGAGAGAGAGCTTAGTAACCAAAGGTTGCTGCAAGATCATTGGGATCAGCCTTACATCAATATGACTCCAAATGAGGCACCTCAAATGTTAGTGGTAGCGACGCCTCTGTAATCACCCGACAAATGGCATTGATGAGCTCAGGATCTCCTCTTTTAATAGGCTTGGCTAGTGAGTTATATCATTCATTACATTTTTTTGGTGTGGGTATAGCTTGGGATAGGTGTTGAGGTTAGCTCTCTCGGGGCACTTATGACATCACGTCAAGTACGAGTATCTTTCAGAGATGTTATCTACTCATAGTCATTCCCAAAGGTCACTCAGGGCATACTAGATTGTCTTTATCATTTGCTCTTATATCTCTTGCAATTCACAACGAGTAATAAGTTCAGCTTTATCAACATTCAGTGATGATTCTTGTTGAGGCTACTCATTTTGCATGACCTATCTTCTTGTCAAGTGTATCACTCCATGCTTACCACACCTAAGATTATGTTGAATCTGAAACTATCCGTGGAACATACCTAACCTTACTAGTAAGTCTAACTAGAGAGCAAAGGAACATGTAAATAAGAATGAAAAGTAAAGAGGAAGAATAAAGGATGACTGAAGATCTCAGGCAAGTAGAAAATTATCTATTAATCTAAGATAAATTTTTTATAATACTTTGTGTTTCTTGAATAGTTCTCATTGCACCTTATTTATAGAATTTAGGGGGCAACAAAAAGAGCTTTATGAAAAAAAGATTAAAAAAAAATATAATGCTACATGAATTATGTATCCAACGCTACATTATTCCATACACATGTCATCATCTGATTGGTGGTAGAGCTAGGATGGAAGACTCAACTCCAGGTGAATGTAATAATGCCAAGTGTAATAAGAGAGGAGTTGGCAATGTGTTGTTGGACGGTGCCAAGTTGGATGAAGTCTATAGTGGCACACCAGTTGGGCCTTATTATCTTGCTCTAAGTCAAGGATGGTCATAGTGAAATGCGCTAGTGTGTGATGAGGAAATTGGGCTATGATGAGCTGATGAGCCTAGGTGGTATAAGTGATATCCCCTAGGAAGAAACCTTTCATGTAGCCCAACTTAAGTGAGGGATGATATTCCTGCACTAAGAGCTGACAACTGAGATTGCAACAAGTGTTAGGTGATTCACCTGATGCACTATTCCTAACTCGCCCAATTTAATACGAACATTATGGTTGATTCAATCGAGTGTCCAAGAGTTCCTCGTGGTGGCAAACAAAAATCAAGGTGTGTACCACAAATTTAAAAATTGTTTAAATAGAATGGTTCACAAAAGCAAAGGAAACATTTTAAAATATTTAAAATTCATTAAATTTTTTTAATATTCTCTCTTCAAATCAAATATAAAATGCATATATATATATATATATATATATATACACACACACACATACCTGAATGTCTAGAAAAATATATTTTAAGATGGCTTTTGTTTAATTATTTAGTGGCATAGTGTATAATATATAATACACTATGCCACTAAATAATTCAACAAAGAGCATCTTAAAATATATTTTTTTAGACATTTAAGTCAATTAAGTCAACCTCGTACATGCATCATATATATAAATTTTGAACCTAAAAATTCTTAATTAATAGTCAAAACGTCAAACTAACAGATCAAGATAAGTTGTATTCTCACAATCTCATGTTTGCGCCTTTCATTTTTAACGCAGCTAAAGCTTTAAATTAAACCAGAAAATAATCAACTCTCTGAAATTACGCATCCATTACTAATTTTGAACCCAATTAGGTCAGTCAGCCACCAATTTAAATTATAGTTTCATTTTTTTTTAAATGACTTGTACGGCTTATATATCTATCTCATATAAATCAAATAAATGGATTGATGTACGAGGCTTGTAAATCCCTTCTTTTGATTTATGTATCCGCAAAAGAAACGGTTAAAGAATAAAAGAGCATGCAAGGAATGAAGAAATCTTGAGCAATTCTCTCCTTTTACATAAAGATAATTTTGAGCAATTAAAGCTTCATTTGATATAATTTTCTTAACACCTTTAAAATAACTTTCTAATAAAAAATTTATTAAATTAAAAAATTTTTACCAAAAAATTATTTTAAAATTACTAATAAAAAAAATTATCCCAAACAAAACCTAAAGACTTCTTCTGAGACAACTTTCTTTCTGCTTCATTAAATTGATGTAAAAAATCGAATACAATTTTTTAAAAACAACAAAAAACTAATGACTAAATAAAAATTATAATTTCAATCTAAAAAACAAAACAATAAGCAATCTCTCAAATTAAGTCTAATGCTTTATTTGAAACAACTTATTTACTATTTTTTAAAGCACTTTAAAAGTACAAAAATTTATTAAAAAATTATAAAAAATAATGATAAGTTGCCCCAAATGAAACCTGAAGAACAACTTGGAATGGAGGGCTTCTTTAAAAGCTGATGTAAGAAAAACTTAACAAAATTAGAAAAAAAATAATGATCAAATAAAAAATATAATTACAATCTGAAAAATAAAACTGTAAAAAAATTATTCCAAATAAAACCTTAAATATTGTTTATTTAAAAGGATTTAAAAGAACATGACCTTTCTCCCTTCAGCGTGTAATTAGACCGAAGTCCGTCCATTAATTTCCTCGTTACATCACGTGAGGTTAAAGCGAAATTAAAAACACTACAAATTCAAGTTTTAGCCGAGTGGCTAGGCCAGAATGGTCATGTGTAAAGTTACTGAAAAAAAGGCCAGAAAAAATCATATGCCAGTCTGAAGTACAATGATGTTATTCGATTGAAAAGTTATAGCTTCTAGTAATGACACATGCAAGATGAAACACTATAACTGGGAAATGATAAGTGAAACAATTTTACTGATGGAAAGATGTCATAAAAAGGTAGTTGGAGCATTGAATCATATAAAAATTAGAAACAGGTTTCAGTTTCTTATAGTTCTCAAGTTTCAAATTGTGTAAATTTCAAACTCCTTTTAAGTGAGCTGCAATAGATATGGTAACAGTAAGTGGAGCAGGGATCTGAATCTGAATAAAATGAATCTCTAAGCCACTGGTGCTTCGGCCATTTCCTGCTCCACAGAGGACGTGACAACTGGGTAGTACTTGTAGTGCAGCTCGCCAACGTCATCCCCAGAAAGCTTCTTCCAACCATCAGGCCCAACATAATAAACTGTAATATAGAGGTTAGATAAGCAACAATGCAACCAAGGACCTTAGCATTGAACACAAATCTACTGGATTTCGATGCATCAATATTTATATTTTTGTCCAGTAAAAGATCCATTATTATTATTATTATTATTATTATTATTATTATTATTATTATTATTATTATTATTATATTACTACAAAAACAAACTTTGACTCTAAGAGCATCTCCAAACGAAAATCTCATTTTTTCCCTCCAAAAATACAAAAATGCCGTGATTCTTCTCCAATTTAACTCCATTTTATGGGCTTCAGTGAAGATAATGGTCTTTTCTCCTCTTTGGCACGTTTCTTCGGCAAATCCTGTTGAGACACAAAAATGACGTTTGTGAACGGTGCGACGCCTATATTGGCGTTGCACTGTTTACTCACGAGCAAATAGTGGAAGACTTGACGTTCGGTTGGAGCGACCAAACAACACCATACACATATTTGGCGTTCAGTTGGAGATGATCTAACAACAAATATGCACATATAATTACATATTCAGTTGCAAATGAGAGCACACCACAACAAAAATGCATAACAAGGACCATAAGATAATCTCAGGCATGCTTAGATTATATGTGGAATCATTATTCAATCAAGTTTAGAAAATCTTCCGATGCTACTAATATTATGGCACTGAAGTGACTGATTTGGCAGAAATTATACAAATTCTAATGGTTAGCTTTTTATAGCATTAAAGTGTGAAAATAAAGAATAGCGGAAATAAAACATACCGCTAGCAACTCCACCACTTGCTCCATCACGAAAAGTCGCATGATAAATTGCACGACGAGCAAGCTCTGCTGCTTCTTCAATTGACAAGTCAAATCGGTACCTAATGCAGCAAATAAATCAAAAAACAGAATCCGTTTTGTTTTGGGATGGAGCTTGATCAAGGATATATATAGAATTTTTTACCCGCTGTCAAGTACAGCGTATGCATATGGTGAACCAGATCCAACAGAAAATCGTTTTCCCTTCAGCCTACCTCCTTCACTGTCAACATAATATAATCCTGGGCCCTAGGATCCACATAGAAGCACATGTTAGAAAGATGATAACAAATGAGCATTAGTATGACCATGAAGATGAAGATATCACACCGTTTCATCCCATCCAGCAATCATGGTCCCAACTGAAAGGCCCATTCCACGGTATGAGTACAGAATGTTTGCCAAAAGCTTAGAAGCACCTGTCACGGAAATCCTTCTTTTGTTTGCTAGTTCATGTAGACGGCACTGAACAACAACAATGAGGAAAGGTCAACAGATTTCTCTTTTTCCAACATATATAGTTTTCAATTCTATAGGGAAAAAAAAAAACAGAATTCACGGTATATTATGGCATGATTAAACATTAAGAACAAAAACCACCTTGATCCCCAAGTTTCTATGCCAAAATTGACAATCTGCAGCACCCCCGGCCATTGTGCCAATCATGTAAGGGTTTATCTCAATTATTTTCTTCACGGTTTGTGAAGCTGTAAAAAAAAAAGTAAGACAGAAGAAATATTTTCAGTAGATCTATAGCAATGCAGATTTTATTAGACTTTTATTGGGTCGGCAATAAACATTGGCCATGACAATATCAACATTGCATATAATATCCTTTGGTAAGCTGCTTCTGCTTTGGTCAGCACTTATTAAATGCAACACCCATTTTAAAAGAAAAATGAAACATAGCACATACAAGTGCACATGGTACAAACTAAACTCGAACAACTCTGAAATCAAAACATGTAAAAATTAAATAATGTTCAATTTGCTAGGAGTAAACTGAGCAATTGCATAATAACATTAAAATAACAAGTGCATTGCATATTCAAATATCCAAAAAATAGTGTTCTAGCTGAGGGAATCCAACTCAAGAAAAATCAAGCCGATTCATACAAGCAAACTTCTACTCTGTCATACTCATTGACTTATCAGAGAACTCATCTTAAGCTGGTAATTATCATCAAGAAACTCATCCAAGTTCTCAAGATAAACTATTGATCAACTACTCAGCTATCCCACTTACTCAAGTCAACAACTTCTTCAAAACTCGGGAGATGACTTCATCTAGTCGGACATTCCAATCAAGCTACACAATTATTACATTTTCTCTTATTCCTTGTATAGCCAATTATGTAATGCTCAAGCCTCAATCCAAACCTATAAATAGGTAGTCAAGAGATGAAGAATCTGTCAAATATGGAGAATCGAACACACGAAACTATTTAACACTCTGAATTCAATGAGAAGATGACTTTCATTCAAGAAGGAGAGGATTTGAAGGAGCCTTAGAGAGGATTCCAAGAACCACTTTTATAGTAGAATTGTTTGAGAGGTCCTTTGATTCTATTGAAAGGAGCAAACTTTTAAGTGCTAAAACCTTAACCTCTACTCCAGAAGTTAATGAATCCTACCATAGAGACAATGAAGGATCGACTTTGGCACTTCATCATAAAGACAGATCTCGCCAACCACATCACCTACTTTGAGTAAGCCACTTATTGGATACACCAATGCATTGAAGTGTATGCTATCACTATCATCATAGAATCACCTTGAAGGTGATTCTTGCATATGTCACTCTATGTTATTACTTCATTCACCAGGTTTAAAAGAATGTTCATGATACAATTTACCAGTGCGCAAAGGTCACTAAATTCACCAAGGAATTTCATTACTTGGTTTCAAAAGGACATGCTTGATGTTAAAATTTAAGACTCGACAATCGCCGAGCAGCTCTCACCCAAAGTCTACAAGAGGGATCTTTTCAATAAGCACTTGGCCTGTAGCAAACGATTATGTTAACCAGTTGCTAGAACCAACCAACAGTCATATAAATACTGAAGAATACAATATAATGACGCCTCTGTTTCGGCCAGTAGAAAGGAAAGAAGCTATTTGGGAGGAAAAAATCGATAATTTCTTAAGGACTAGAGAAGTCGTCCTACAAGTCAAAGGGATAACAGGAGAAATTATTATAATTGGAGAAAATCTGCTAAACAACAAAGATCTTGTCCCTATGCTGCGCAACTACGCAATCAAAAACAAGACAATGACCGATGTGGTGAGAGGCAGTTGTCGCTTCCTATTCACCTGTTACCAAATGCGACTCCATTGTAAGTCTCCGTGGTCTAGTTAGTTGAGACCATTCAAAAGAAGAACTTCTTCCAAATGTTTTTCGTACCCCAATATTCAAATGGCCAAGATGCACAACGAATTAGACTGTTGATGTAAGGCATTACCATGGACTTGACATTCATGGCATCTTTTAGCATGCTCGATACAATCTTTCATCATCAATGACCAATACTAGCCTTTTTTTATGGACATTTTTTAACCTAATTGGTGTGCGCCACACGGTACTTCATGAACTTTGACTATGACTTTATCAACTTCTTTAGCCCTAAACATCATAGCAACATTTGGTCAAAATGATCTATGATACGATATCATTAATAAATTCATATCACATTGTCCTTTTTCTAATCTATGCAGCTAACAATTTATGTGTTGATAATTGACTTCTTTGAAATAGTCGATCAAAATCCATCTCCAAAATTGTATCTCTTCTACCATGAAGGCCCCTTGCTATAATTATGGCGCCTCTTCAAGCTTCTACTCTTCGAGTTCTCTAAGGCTCATTTTGGTGAACTTGAAAAATGATTAAAGATGATGGAAGACAAACAACTATCAGTGTTCATCCATATCATTATCCTCAAATCCAGAAGGTTCAAATGGAGAGATTGATCAAGGAGATGCTGGAGGTAGGGATCATTCGATCCAGTATCAGTCCATTTTTTATTCCAGTGTTACTAGTCAAATGCTTCAGGAACAGTTTCCTTTTGTTCCACCTTGAGGACAAGGTAGCACTTTGGGAGAGGAGTATTGATAGAACGGTCAAATTTGATGGTAGGAATTAGAAAATTTTCTAATGAAGAGGGAGTTGTTTAGGAAGGTTCTTAATCAAAAGGAATTAATTAGGACATATTTCCTAATTGAAGAAAGCATATGTAGGACCTGATTTAGAGGGGATTAATTAAGAAATGTTTCCTAATTGAAGAGGACATATTTAGGGGGTTATTTTAGGTGGGGGAGATTAATATGAAATATTTTTTAATTGAAGAAGGGCAGATTTATGGAATGATTTGAGGGCTGATTTGGCAGGAAAATAATTAAGGGAATATGAAGGAATTAGGAGAGGGCTGTTTGGGTATTTGTTGTTTAGTTGTTAACTTTAAATCAATGTTTAAAATTGCGCAATTGGGTATTGAGGCGTTTTTTGTTCAAGAGGTGAGGCGTAAGCTCAAGGCATTTTGAGGCGTAAGCCTCAAAATAAATAAAAAAATTGCTTAAACTGATAATAAATGTCAAAAGTGATTTTTTATATAATATCTAAATAATATGTTAAATGATGATATATTAACTTCCTATTGAATTATGAATTAACAAATTGACATACATATGAAACAAAAAATTGCACAAGATATAAAGTGACAAGTGATAAATTGTGTGAAATAGAATTAAAATCCAAATATTATAAGAGAAATCAATATTAAATATAGAAATTGCATAAAATTATCATATAACATCAAGTTCAAATCCAAATATCTTCTTTCCCAATTTTCTACTCATTTACGTTTAATTCCTAATAAAAGTTGAAATAGTTGACAACTTAGGAATCATCTACACTGTCATCAATGAGGTGATCTTTTTTTGAGTTGTCGCTAAAACAAATTGGTTTATCCCCTGCCTCATTCGGTAGAGTCGAATGCCTCCCAATATGTTTCTTTTTAATTTATTTCAATCATGTTAATCTTTTAGAAATATTTTCATCAACATAAATATGAGATTAATGCTTTTAAGGTGGTGGTGTGCAACTTTAAAGTGATTGTCGGTGACGGCTACAACAGTGTTTGCTGCGGTGAAGGCCGTTGGTTGGAGATAGAGGCAATCGAGAGGAAGTTGCGCTCAAATGTGCATGAAGGCGTGATTTATGCTAGTTTTAACAAAAAACATATACAAATAGGATGAGGTGTAAGCCTCACGCTAGTCAGGCGAGGCGAGCCTCATTAAAAAGCTATAGGCGTAAAACTCGAGGCATTTTTCACTAGAATTGCGCTGAGGAGGACCTCAAAGCGATCCTCATATTGCGCAATTTAAACAATGCTATATATAGGAAGAAAGAATTAGGGTGAGGGTTATGCAAATTATTGTAGCTGATTTCATTCTTGGAGTTTGGTGACTTGGGCTCTAGCGACGTCTAAGGACTGGGAGAGATAGATCCTCCTCTCAAATTAAAGATCAATTGTATCTTGTTGTTTTCTTCCGTTAGTTTGATTATTGCAATAAAAACTACTATTTTTCTGTTCTTTTTATTTGATTTGTGGATCGTTCTCGTTGTTTTTATCAAGATCATTAGGGTTTACTTGGGAACTCCAAGTATTTCCTAACAAATTGGTATCAGAGCAAATTTTGATATTGTTTGTGGGCTATTTTCTAGAAAACCAGAAATTATTTTCAACTGAAGGAAGGGATTTTTTTCTATTTTTTTGGTTAAAATTCATATTTTTTAACCTACAAAAATTTCGGGAATTGATGGTGACCAAGAAGCTAGATACGTTGGAGGAACGCCTTGAAGGGGAGATGAGCCAAATAAAAGTAACAGTGGAAGATCAAATTTCATTCGTGGAAGACAATGTTTCCAATCTTCATGAGATGATGAAGAAGATATTGAAAAATCAAATTCAAAAGGCGGCAACGGAGGCAAAAAGGACCAGTGGGAAGAACGATGAATTCTGAATATCGTAGGAGGGACAATGAGGTGGAAATCAAGGAGGAGAGGTAGAAAGTATGGATAGGCATGGTTATGGGGGGCAGGAATCAAGGGGTGCTGGTTGGGAAAGAAAAGATGGAGATTATGGTAGTAGGGAATCTGATTTGAAGGGAGGAGAGGAGAAAGTGAAAAAGGGTTTGGGTACGAGCGGTAAAGGAAAGATCGGGAGACTTGGGGAGAGTCTAGCACTTGGGAAAGGGGAATTTATGAAGGAAAACGGAGAAATGGGGCTAAAAAAGGTATGGAAGTTGAATATGCCCATTTTTAAGGGGAGGATGCACAAGGGTGGATATACAAGGTGGAGAGGTATTTCTCCGTCAATGGGCTGACTGAGGAGAAGAAATTTGCGGCAACAGAGTTATGTTTGGAGGGGAAGGTGTTGTCTTGGTACCATTAGAGGGATCAGAGGAGACCCATATAGAGTTGGAGGGAATTCAATGAATGCTTATTGAAACGTTTTTGAACCGGCAGGGGAGGGGACTTCTATGAGCAGTTCTTTGCACTAGTGCAGAACGGATCAATAGCATACTATCACAAGAGATTTAAACACTTGGCCAATCGAGTGGAGCAACTATCGGAGGCTTCTTTGGAGGGTAAGTTCATGAAGGGACTCAAATTTGAGATCAGAGCCACAGTAAGAGTCATGACGCCTCG